TGATTCCTTTTTATAGTTTTTATTTGGCTGGTGAGAGCTCCCTCTCTTCCTCAGTCACTTACATAGTAGCTGCTTTGTCGCCCTCAACTAACTCCAGCGTCTGGATCACCTTGTGTTCAGTGTGTGTTGACTGCTTTTTCCTTGACTGTGGATCTCCTTTTTCTGTTTATTTGCATGTCTAGTAATTTTTTAATGGTAAACTGGAAACTGTAGAAGATGTGTGTTTGAGACCTGCAATTCTATTTTCTCCTAAAGTGTGTTGATTCTTTGTTGTTCTAGCAGGCACTTACCTCACTAGACTTAAACTCCATACTCTGCATTTGGGCAACGGCTGATATCTTTGCTCAGTTCTTTTAGGCATCTAGCTATTGCCTCTCTTTAGGGCCTTGGGACTCTGTCCTTATATGCTTTGAAGCTCAGCTAAGGAGTGTAGTAGAGTTTATAAACATATATTTTGAAGTTTCCTATTTTCTAGGGTTTCCCTCCCCATTTTCTGTTTGCTAACTCCAAACTTCGTCCTTTGGTGTCTCAATCTAATAAGATTGTGACTTCCTTCTTGAGCTTCAGCTACTCTGAACAATTCAGGCTGGTACCTGCCCTGAGCAAGCAACTATATACAGGTAAATCTCAGTACAGTTCCACTCTTTCAAGGGCTGGCTTCTCTCTAGTTTCTGTGTTTTGGTTGCTTTTCAGTGCTTTCAAATAGATGTGTTTATATTTTGGCCAGGGTTTACAGTCATTGTTCATAGGTGGGTTACTCTAGTATAAGCTATTCCACCTGTGTGTAAGTCTCCCATACTTTCACTTTTTTAAAAGACTGTTCTTTAGAATAAAATTGTAAGGTACAGAGATTTCCCATATACTTTTTGTCCCCACACATGCATAGCCATTGCCATTATAAACATTACTCACCAGAGTGGCACTTTTTTTTTCTTAAATCAAGGATAATCCTACAATGACACATCATAGTCACTCCAAGTCCATCTTTTCCCCAAGGGTCACTCTTGGTGTTGCACATTCATTAGGTTTAGACCAATGTACAACGATATACAGCCATCATTATAGTACCGTACAGTGTATTTTCATTGTCCTAAAAATCCTCTTTGCTTTGCTTTGCTTATTTATCCTGGCCACTACCCCTGGCTACCACTGATCTTTTTGTCACCATAGTCTTGCCTTTTCTAGAGCATCATATAGTTTGGATCATACAGTACGTAGCCTTTCCAGATTGGCTTCTTTTCACTTATGCATTTACATTTCCTATCGGTTGGTTGCCTCCTGCATGTGCCCCAACTGGGGACCGGACCTGCAACCCAGGCTTGTGTCCTGACCAGGAATTGAACTGGCGACCCTTTGTGGAATGATGCCCAACCAACTGAGCCACACTGATTAGGGCATAGCTCATTTCCTTTTAATGCTGAATAATATTTCATTGCATGGATATACCACAGTCTTTCCATTCACCTACTGAATGACTCCTTGGTTGCTTCCAAGTTTTGGCAATAAGAATAAAGTTACTATAAACATCCATGTGCACGTTTTTAGTGGATGTAAGTTTTAACCCCCTTGGGTAGACATCAAGGAGCATGGTTGCTGGTAAGTATATGTATATATTTATAAGAAACTGCCAAGCTGTCTTCCAAAGTGCCTGTACCATTGTGTATTCTCACCAGCAGTGGATGAGAGTTCTTGTCGGAGAAGAGACAGCTCCTCACAAGCTTTTGGTATTGTCACTGTTCCGGGTTTGACTGTTCTAATAGGTGTATAATGGTATTTTATTGTTTTAATCTGCATTTTCCTGATGACATATGACATGGAGTATCTTTTCATATGCTTATTTGCCATCTGTGTATTTTCCTTGGTGAGGTTGATTTCACTTTTAGCTTTTCTGAATCCTTATGTGTTTAGTGTTTATCTCATAAATAGCATTAGCTGTTATTTTAAAAGATTCAGTCTGACATTTTATCTTTTAATGGATACATTTAGTCTTTTTTAAAATTACTTCTGTTTTGAAATTTAGTCCTGCCCTTTCTTTTTGTGCTTTCTATAAAATATGGAGTTTTTCTGAGTTTCAGTTTCCTTCTCATTTTCTTTTGAATTGACTGAGTTTCTTATTTCCCCTTTTTTCAACTCCTTTTCTTCAATTAAGTAAAGAGAGTTTCACATTGTCTTTACTTAATTGGTTTTACTTTTAAATTTTTAATAATATTTGATCTTAAAAGATCTAAAGTAAGTATTTTTTTCTTTTTTAAATATATTTTACTGATTATGCTATTACAGTTGTCCCATTTTCCCCCCTTTAGGCCCCTCTACCCTGTACACCCTCTCCCACCCATATCCCCCCCCTTTAGTCATGTCCATGTGTCATACTTATAATTTCTTTAGCTTCTACATTTCTCATACTATTCTTACTCTCCCCCTGTCTATTTTCAACCTACATTCTATGCTACTTACTCTCTGTACCTTTTCCCCCTCTCTCCTCCTCCCACTCCCCTGTTGTTAACCCTCCATGTGATCTCCATTTCTGTGCTTCTGTTCCTGTTCTAGTTGTTTGCTTAGTTTCTTTTGGTTTTGCTTTAGGTGTGATTGTTAATAATTGTGAGTTTGTCTCTGCACTCATGAAGCTTATGAGATAACAAACTGATTAACATACACTATGGTGTAAATTAGTGTTTGGTACTAGAATAGAAAGTAAATATTAGGAAACTAAAGAATGATGTTGGGGTGGAGAACCTATTTTGCTTATGTTTCTGCTATCTTCAGATAGTTCATAGATTTTTAGGGTCAGGTATGAAAAATATAATTCCCATGCTGGAGGAGCTTGTAGTCCAACCAGAGAGACCCAGGAAGAAGACACAGATATGGGAGCCATGGGCTCATGGCTGGTGAAGCTTTACAACTGGCGAATTTCTAAGGAGGGTGTGTGGCGCGTCAGGCACCTGAAGCAGATCCAGGGCAGAATGGGAGGAGCTGGTAAAGGAGACTGACGCTTGGTGAGGGAAGTTAAAGAACAGGAAATGATCCTGGGAGCCAAGACAAGAAGAGGTTATATTTTATTTATAGCTTGCATATTTCAAAAATAATTTAGTAGGCTGAGAAATCAAGTAGAAAGAGCCTGAGAAAGAAAGAGATTGGTATTGGCAGGTGGGACATCACAGTGACCTGATCAACAGACGGTTTCCGTGAAGTGAAACAGACTACACTGGGTTGAGGAGTTGAGAAATTACAGACAGAGAATAAGACTGCTTGTTCAGACTGTGGTAAAGGAACGAGGAGAGAGATAATTTGAGGGGAAGAGGGCGGCATTAGAACTCAGGGCTGAAGTTGGTATTTTGGCAAAAATACAGAACAAAACCTTGGGGACCTGGGGATTCCATGGCCAGAAAATAGCATGGGTCCCTGGACTTGAGGAGGGTCCTGCCTAATGCTTTTCTTGCCAGAAATTGCTCCCCAGGATCCCTGGGTTTTCCATTGTGGGTGGTGGCAATATATTTCCTAGTGTCTGAATACTGAAGCCACAGTATTCTGTTGTGATGATTTGGCATTTATATTGAAGCGATAAAAGTAAAAACGTAGGTGAACTTCCCATGAGCATTGCTTTTCACACTCCTTAGCCTGATAGTCAAGATTCGCCCTGTTCCAAACTCACCCCCTCAACCGCATCTCTCAGGTTTTCTGTTTGCTGTCTCCTAGACAGTCCCTGCACTTTCCTACCTCCTTATTTCAGCTCACACAGTCTTGTCCACTTGAAATGTCTTTTTGCCTTTTATAACTGATATCAGTTCCCTAGTCACTCTCCCTACCACCTTCTCTCCTCTGTGCAGACAGCTTCTTACAACTTGACACCCAGTGCAAAGATGCAAAAGCACTTTTTAAATTATAAAGTGCCACACAAACTTGCCTTGTCATTTCTCCCCCTAAACTGCAAGCTTGTTGAGGACAGGGACGTAGGTCTGTTTCATATTTATGTACATCACATTACTGGGCATAGTGTCTTGCACATGTTTGATATTTAAAGTTTGAATGAAGTAGGGATATGTGATTGTTATAGATTAATGCGATGTCTAAGATGGGCATGTTATATGCCAAGTTCTAGTTTGTAGCTATTAAATTTTCATTGAAATTCTGCTTCTTTGCATATTTCTTCTAAAAGTAGACTCCTTAATTTGGATTCTCCACTGATTCACAAATCATTTTTTTTCTTCAGAGTACATGCCTATCTAAATCAGTAATGGTAGGTTGCAGAGTAGTGTACTGGGATGCTTTTGACTAAAGTAGCAGAATTAACTAGTTAAACAATGCAAGCTGTTTCAACTCACCTAACAAGAAATACAGACAACAGGAGATTTCAGGTTTGTCTGCTCAGTGACTCCGTGATACCATCAGGGCCCCATGTGCTTTCCACGTTTCCAGTTGGCCATCCTCAGCACATTAGTTTCTCTCGTGGCCTCAGGGTGGCTACAGCACTTCTGTGTATCCTACACAAACAATATCCAGAGGTGGAAAAGTCTAGTTTCTTCTTCAGCATCTTTCTGAGGGAGCATACCTTTTCCTGAATGCTTCCCAACAGATACCCCCTTAGGTCCATTGGTTGAAATTTGGTCATATGCACTGGCAAAAAGAACAATCATTTGAATTCATTTGGAGGTCTAATGCCTTGAAAAGCATAACGTCTGAGGGTGGGATAAGGAACAAACACTATCTGCCACACCTGCTATTTATGTGTCTTTGGCTTGCTGATCTGGCAAGTTAATATCCTCATAGATTTGTAAGAGGAGGCTCAGTTCCCATTGAGCTTCGTGTTGGTTCTGGTAAGACTTTATCCATTGACTCACTCATTCATAAATAAACATGAACTGAACACGTGGTGTGCCAGGTACCGTGCGCAACACTGGGCGGTGGCAGTTGGCCTATAGTCCAGTGGAGTAGGGGGCTGAGGTAAGGGGGGAGGATAGAGTTATTCCATAAAATCTGATTATAGGAAATTTATTTTTCAACAGGAGATGTGGGACATGTGGATTTGGGACATGAATTCATTTGAAAAACCTCTTTGGGGTAAGTTGATAGCCAGGAATGAATGACTTCAGGGTTTTACTTCTTTTTACGTTGGGGTTTGTTCTTATAGCTCCAGAGGTTTCAAGCTTTTGTTGACTGGGCTTTATGCCTCATGTACACACAAGAAAATGGCTTGTCCTAAAATTCCATTTTAGTAATTTGAGAAATTCACCAAGCCTAGCCCAGTGCTAATTAATTAGCGCATTTACTTCTCATTAGAGAGGTTAATTTGAAGGTTAAATGAAGAACAGGTTTAGAACTCGAGAGACATTGGTTATATAGGGTTTAATCTGCTTGACTTCACCCAATAATCCTGTCATGTGGACTAGTGATCACTCATACAGCCAGTATTGAAGATACGTGGTTAAAGTTTGTCTCTGACCTCCCTTTTCAGTACTCCAAATGGCTGGTTGAGTTCTCATTGCATCAGTACAAATATAAAAGGTTCCCAAATTTTTATTTCTTGTAAGAAAGCACCTCTAGAAATACTATTTAATATTACTTTGTACTGTGGCATCTGAGTGTGTTGTGCATTACCCATTTAATTTTGTGTAAGGGGACTGACTATAAGATGGGCATGTTTTTTCATTTAGAGGAATAAGGAGGCCTGTGTTTATAGGATCATGTAACTAATATGCATTGGAATTGAAATTTGAACCCAAATTTTAATTTCAGCATTTGACCTAATAGACACTCACTTCTGTTTCAATATGTTGATTGTGTAGGGGCTTCCCAAGGTTGAGCCCTCAGGTTCAGTGATTGGCTGTAGTCGTAATAATGGCTAAGATTTATTACATTGAAAGGATGCAAAGCAGTATTAGCAAAGAAAAAAGGGAAGGGGGTGAAGACTGGAGGAAACCAGGCACAAGCTTCCAAAGAGTCCTCTCCCAGTGCTGTCAGTCACTCAGGATGTGCTTTAGTCCTCCAGCCATGAATTGTGATGGCACATGTCAAGTGTCATCGACTAGGGAAAGGCATCAGACTCATCGCAAGTGTTTTTATCAGGGTTCATGATGGAGGCATCCTCTGCCTAACATGTACAGAAATTTCAGGCTCCAAGAAAGAAAGCTGGTGTTTTGCATAAGTCATACTGTTCGTACAGACAGTTTAGGCACAATTAGGCACACTTATCATTTAGGGTAAATTTTATATCAATATTGGAAACTTTATTATTCAAGTTCCCAGATGCCAGCCAACGGTCAGTCTTACAACCAAGTCTTTCTGAGGATAGCAGTCTCAGGTCTACTGTGTTAACTTTTATTTTAAAAGAGAGAGAGATCAGTTTGTTGTTCTATTTATTTATGCCTTCATTTGTTGATTCCTGTATGTCCCCTGACTGAGGATCAAACCTGCAACCTTGGCAAATCAGGACAACACTCTAACCAACTGAGATACCCAGCCAGGGCGTATGTTAACTTTTATCTTGTATACTGATTTATTCATTTAAAGAGATTATGATTATGATCATTTAGCTTCTGAAAAATGAGAGTAGTAGGTAATGGCCAACAAAATTCATTAATGGTGTTTGTTTTGCGGATCCCATGATTGCCCACTAGTTTGATTTGCTGGAATGATTCATACAACTCAGCGTAATGTTGTCCTCAAGGCTAAGGTTTAATACAGCAAAGGTTACAGTGCAGGAACAGCAGGAAAAAGATATGTATAGGTGAATGCTAGAGAAATCTAGCATAGATTTCTAAGTCTTTCCACTACAAGAATTACATGGACCCAGTTTCCTCTCTAGCTATGAATGATAGAGACATGTACAAGATGTCTCTCCCTATAGAAGCACATGAGTGTTTATAGGAAGAAGCTGGTCACATAGGCACATTCCTGCCGTATGGCCAGCCCTGGTAACTGAAACTTAGAACCCAGAACAGATGTCAGGTACACATCAGAAATCTTGATGATTACTTTAAACAATGCTAACATCCTGGTCCATCCTGACCCACTGCCTCTGATACCCTTAACCAGTAACTGTGAACAATTCAGGAGTTTAGTTCTCAAGAGTTTGGCCAGGGGTCGTTGCTATGGCTCCAGGCATTCCCCCCAGAGATTAGCAAGAACTGAGTAAGAGAGACCTGCTGCGTTAACTCCTTCCTCACAGCATCCTACATGAAATAATGTTACACTCACTCAGTGTAGTATTTAGTGCTGCTATATTCTTTAGAATATGATATTCTAAACTGAGAAAAAATAATCGATAGTAGAAATAGTTGATATATTTCACTTCTCTAAAGGGGGAGTTTGTAGATTATTTTGTTTTAGGGATTTATATAATGGTGACTTCGGGATTTCCCATTTTTGTCCAAAACTATTTGTGTTTTATCCAGGTATATGTTTTGTTAAGGAACAAAACAGAAATATGAACTTAAAACAGATGAAGATATTAAACAGAATTAACCTTCACTTCATGAAGGCCTTCCTCGTGAGGGACTTTTAAACAGAATGGAATCTCCTTTTTACAGAATTTGCAGATTTACAGATATGCTAGTTTTGCAAAAAGAAAATAACTAATAGTTTAAAAATTGCCTGATTTCAGGATTTGAAACCAGTTTCTACCACTTTATTTTTTGCCATTTGAAACCTGCTTTATGTTAGACAAAAAAGAAAGATGAAGTATATGGGGTAAGTTCCATGCTTGAAAATGAGAAGCTCAGCTTTAATAAAGTTAAATATGTTTCCTTATTGCAGAGCTTCATAGAAACTTCACTGCAATAATATACAGTATGAATCTTCCAGGGCAAAGAGAGCATGTAACAGTCCCCTAACTTATTTCACCACAGACTTTCTTCAGTGAGGACACCCAGGTTTGGGTCCTATGGTAAACCGGAGTCTTAAGAAAATGGAGGGACAAGGGGAAGCCATAAAGGGTTTTAGGTAGAGGAGAGACAGAAAACAACTATAGGAAAATTTACTTTACAGAAAACCTTGCACAAAGTTTAGTATCTTATAGTACCTTCTGATAAAACATATTTAGAAACTTCCCTATCTGGATGTCTTCTTCCTGCCAAGTTTCCTGGATTGATATTTCTCTCACAATATGAATGGCATGTCTCAGACTGGTGATTAATGGTGTGATAAGAGCTTCCGTTGTGTGGATCATTGGCTTTATGCTTGTGCCATGCACAGTATCTGACACGGTATCAAAAACGTAGTTGGCCAGGACTCAGTACGTAATCCAGAGAGACTGTAATTAGTTGTGACTCTAAAGTACTGGAACTTTTTTTTAAGGAACACAATCTAGTAGACAAAGAAGTTATTTTGTAAATGATGTTGTTTTGAAGAACATTTTTTGAACTTAACTATATTAAGGTTGTGTTTAATTCCTTCCTTATTATCAGCTCTTTAAAAATGATCCTTATGATTTTTTAAATTTATTTTCTCAGAATAGTAGAATTGTCCACCATCATCATAGCAGACAGTTTCAACTACTGACTTCTTCTGCAGTAGGCATTTTTAAATGGTCATTACTGCTCAGGAAGGCAAGGAGGTCAAGAGTAGCCAAGGCATTCCTCAAGAGGTAGAGAAAGGTGAAAAGGCTTGCTTTTACCATACGTCAAGAATTATTGTAAAGCTGTAATAATTGACCTCAATGTGGTGTGGAGATAGACTCATGGAACGAAAAGTAGAATCCTGTAAACCCCATTTGTGATGAAGCTGGCATCGCACACTGTTAGGGAAAGGATGAACTTTCCGTAAATAGTACTGCAACAGTTGGTTATCCACATGGAAGAAAATGACATTGAACCTCTACTTAAAGCCGAAGCATAAAACTTTAAAATAGTTTCTAGATGGAGAAGAATTTAAGACTTAGAAAATGTGAATCATAAAGGACAGCTTGTATTAGGAAGAGAAGCTTTAAATTGGGAAAAGATAGTTGTACTAATACAAGATTATAATCCAGATTGCAGAGAAAGCTTTACAAACTAATAGGAAAAAGACAAAACAACCCACCCAGTAGAAAAGTGAACTAGACTTAAATAGGCAGAATAAATAGAATGGTCAGTAAGGTCAGAGATGGTGGGGAAATGAAAATTAAAGTGCATTAATGGGGGGCTGGAGTATAGAGGGATATAGAGCAAAAAAAAGAAGAAGAAGAACCTCATGATTGAGCATACGAAACAGTATGATTGCTGGGGGGAGATAAATGGTGATGGACAGAGACTTGGGTTAGTGAACATACAATGAAGTATACAGATGATGTGTTGTAGAATTGTGCACCTGAAACCTATATAATTTTATAACCAGTGTCAACTCCAATAAATTCAATAAAAAGGAAAAAAAATAAAAATACATGAAGATACCAATTACACACCCACCAGATTGTCAAAAAAAAAAAGTTTGACATCATTAAGTGTAGCCACGGATATAACACATCCAGAACTCTCATTTTGCATTTTGTTTTACTTCAACCACCTGGGAAAACAAATTGGTCATAATTAGTCATGTTTAAAATATGCATACCCTATGACCTAATACCCCTAAGGCTATATGCTCTAAATCAGGGTTCATAGTTAAGGTTTTTTAACGTTCTTTAAATGTCTAAAAAATTAAAGTAATATTTTATAATTTGTGATATAAAAATTATGTGACAATCAAATTTCAGATCCTATAAATAAAGTTTTGCTGAAATACTGTTACATGAACTTGTTTACACGTCATTTATGCTGCTTATGTGGTGCCAGAGTTCAGTGGTTGCAACAGAGATGCCCCCACAGAGCCTAAAATATTTACCATCTGACCTTTTGCAGGAGAAATTTACTGGCCCCTGACATAAATAAATATACGGTTATACCTTGGTACTCATCGGCTTCAGAAGTCGTCAAGCCCTGTACTTGATGCATTTTGATGAGAAAAAAATGTTCCATGCTCGGGACTCATGGCACTTGATAGAACTTGTATGAGTCGGTTTTGGGATTCATCAGTTTTGGTACTCATCTCGAGTTCCAGAATGAATTAATGAGTACTGAGGTACTAGTGTATTTGCATGTGTACCA